GATTTTGCTTGTGTAGTTGTCGGTTTGACATATTGGCATTCGACAAGCCTAAACCGTTTCAGATAATTATTTTTATATTTTTTGAAGGGGGTGATTTTTTCTCAGTCAATTTTTTCTCACTTTTTGTTCTTTATCTGTTATAGGAAATGCAATTTTCTACAAAATATTATCTCACTTTTTTATATAAGTCATGTTACAACTATGATAGATGTAAACTCATCATTCGGGCGTTCCGTTTAATTCAAGTCCAATAATAATAATCGGGAAAATGTCTTTTGTTTTTAGTTTTAATTATTGTTATCTTTTCACGGGGCCTGAGGGTTTTTGCGATAAAGTAATTTTGGAACAGTCAATTCCGTCCTTCTATCCGGAAGTGAGCGTTTTTTCATCATGCGCTGTGTAGGATCTGGAAACTTCAAGCAATAATTCCTTCCGAAGAAAGAGTTATCTTTCGAAGTAGTTGGAGTAGAAGTACTTTGCCTCAAAACGCCTTCAAGTTTGCGAGATACATCATGCTCGACATAAAATGTGGGATAATTGTGTCTCTTAAGAATTAAAAGTTGAAGAAGCCATCGGCTATAGTTCGTTCCTTATGAGCGAAAATCGGAGCAAATTCTCTCTTTATGGCAATTTCGTGCATAATTTCTGATAAATTCTGAAATTCCAAGACTTGGAGTGGCAGATAGTGTAAAAATACGATCAGAAATCCGCCTGCATGCGCGGAAATGCGGTTTTGCAATTCAGAATCTCTTCAGAGGAGTTTTGGAACTAGTCAATCATTGATTAAATTATGATCCTTATTTTTTATGCTTGAGAATTCTTGACTTTTGGATGCAGTAGAAGGGTAGCAAAGTGTATGCAGTATATGTAGTCACTTGTCCCAGCATTAAATATATAAATCAACTGAGCCTGGTATGAACAAAACCGCACGTATCCTCCCTAATCAATTTACTATTGATAGTGCAAATGCAAACGCTTTGAAGCCTAATCATATTATGAATAGATTGAATTAAACAAACAATTCCCAAATTCATCCGTGAAACATATCGCGGAGTAGGCGCTATGATTTGCAGGTAATACATGATTTTCCCGCCACTCAGGAACGATGCCTCTGACGTTGCAAAACGTCTATCTTGGAGCCAAAATTACGTATGGAAGGCGAGCGCGGCGTGATCTCATAGTTACGATAAGATATTTTCGCATCATATGGAAAAATAACGAACCTAATTGAACAAATAGAATTTATATTGATGCTGTATTTTATTCATGGATGTAATTGTTAATTTAAATTGAATTTTTGAACTAAATATATAAATATGTAAATATATTTTTAATGAAACATTGTAAGACCATAACTCAGAAAAATAGATTTCCGAATTAAAAATTACATCATCTTTTAATTTAATGTCATGGCAGATTTGCGCTATATAGTTATGGACTCATAATAATCTGAGTCAAGCAAAACTGAGGGGCGTTTAATTGTTGCGTAGCACCCTTTAGGGGTTAGAGAATCTGAAATTGCTTGCTGATACTAAGAACATAAAGGCCTAAAATCAATAATAATGCAAATTATGTTGTTAGAGAAAGATGTTTTGGTCTTGTTTAACACAAATAATAAGAAGAAAAAAAACCGATAAAAACCTGAGATAGGAATTCTTTTACGTTATTCATGGGGAGAGAATGGTTTTACGAGTGTTTTATACAAGGGAGTAGGGGGCGGGGCGTTGAAAAAATCCGGAAAATGTGCGTTACATTATCCTTATTCACCCACTCACGCGTTATATTTGGACGTATTTACATCAAAAGTAACTATATTCACTTTGATATGAGCCCTGAGATCCATAAGAAAAGTGCTTGACAGGGCTCATGTCACAATGTATATAATCCGTTTTGATGTAAATGCGTCTATTTGTCGGATATCCTTCGGGAAAACTCTAAAATAGGCTACCGAGTATTTAAGGATGGCGCACAGTGGATCGAGTCAATCAGAGAGGTCGGACTTTAATTTTTTTACTAAATCTGCACATTTTGATGTTTATTTCGTCACATTTTAAGTTTTAAGCGGTGTTTCTAGAGGAAAATATCACGAGGAAACCAATGGAACCACCTGTAGAACCTCAAAATTGTGTATAAACGGAGTTATAAGCTTTTAAATTTTCCAAATTTTGTCCGACCTCTCACTGGAAAAAAACACATTGGATCTAGTCCAGGCTCTTAAAAACATCGACAAGAAAAAATACTCTCGATTCAATCAGATTTAAGCTTAAATCAAGAACCAAGCCTCATAATTTGAGCGGATTTCCTTTTGATTTAAGCTTAAATCTGATTTAATCAAGAGTCTTTTTTCTTGTCAATGTTTTCAAGAGTCTGGACTCTAGATCCAATGTGTTTTTTTTTTTTTTTTTCCAGTGCTCCCATTGACTCAATCCAATGTGCGGCGATTAAACCTCGTCTCGGTTATTTTACAACACTCAAGTCGTCCCTCCTCTGACGTAAGGTCTTATCTCAATTCTCATGTGAGCCCTGCTCTCCGTATAACTCTATACTCTCTGGGGGTCATGAGGGAATCGAGATACGCCCTTACGTCAGAGGAGCGACGAGGTGTCTGTAACAAACACACAATATTCGGAGAGTGCCCACGAGAGACGTAAAAAGTCTGCCTTCTAAAAAGCACGCGTCAAATGGCAAAACCCCCCCATAACTGTGTAAATAAAACCATCGAAGAGGAAAAGTTACACTGAGACTTTTTCTGTCTCGAGTGAAAGCTCGGATGGACGATAGAGCAGAAAAAATGAGTTCAATTTTAACGATCGCCGCAAAAATTTCATTAGTGAGTTTATTTATGAGTGAAAAAAGATTGGAATGCCTGTATAATGTTGATCTCTAATTATTATTAAACGCTCTAATCTTACGCGTCTATTTACTTTCCAAGCACGAATAAAGGCACAGGGGTCTTGACTGTGAATAAAAGCCCAGTTAATAAGCGTCTGACAAGAGTGGAACATTTTTTTCCATATACGAATCAATGTTCATATGCAAAATCAATTTTTATCTAATCTTGGCACTGTTTTGGACTTTTTACTTGGGTATTTTAGGAAGACCAAGGTAGCTTATCAGCGACCAATACAGTTGAGTTTAACTTGTTTTTATTTTGAAATTTGGATTTTGAATCGTTCTTTCGGAGGAAAATTTTTATTTGTAGGTAGCAAGGTATGACACCGCTTTTGTTTATGTATGTGTGCCGCGGCTGGGCCTTTGAAAAACAGTTAACATTTTTGAAATAATATAGTAAATTGTAAAGTTCCGTTAACATATTCACTTCGGCAAAATTTCCCGTCACCGAGGTTTTTTTGTAAGGTTTAAATGTTTTAATTTAGGATTATTTTGAAAATCGCTCTTTTTCGTGTACTTTTTATCTCGGTGCTCTTCGGCTCAGAACTACTATATGCAAATTCTTTATGGTAGAAACTTAATGCCCGAGTGAGTCTATAACACCAACTGAACAACGAAACGTCTCCCTCTTCCCATACAACTATGCAGCTTGCCGAATTTCGCTAACTTCTTATATTGACCACACTATTATGAGCTGCATTATTTCGAGAAAAATTAGACAATCCCAATTATAACTAATACTTTTACGACTTCGAACAGTCTAAGTTATATTGCCTTAGTTCCATAACTTGCTATTCGTGGCCGACATAGTTACTCAAAGCCTCCTCACGCATGTGACGCAGGCAATTAGTCAAATCAGGCATTGTATCAAATGCCTATGGATGTTGGTCAAATTTTGACAGTTTACGAACTTATGTTTTTTGACGAAGAGCTCACAAGTTTCCAATATTTTGGAGGAAATTGATCATCAAACCTACGAACCCTCCTTTTTCTTTTCACTTCAAATGCTCCTCAAATATTTAAACTTTAAAAATTTCAAAATTCTGTCTTACAACACAATGCAAATTTCAAGATAAATGTCAGTATAAGGACTAGAAATCGCTTAAAATAAATTTTAATGATGCAAACTATTACAGAGAGTTCTCTCTTACATGAGCCAAGAAGTATTTTGTCTGATATTATGAGAATAAGCAGAATTTCAATCTAAGTGAAAATATTTGACAATTAACCTAAACATTAGACAGATTGCCTGATTTGGCTGTTTGCAGTGACGAGGCGAGAATGGTTGATTATCGATATTTCCTCATTTGAAGCTAAGGTAAACTATCGATAATTAAGGTGTTCGTTGAGACCACCCTGCTTATCGATCCTTTTCCGTAGGTTCGAATGGCAGATCAATCGATACATCGCCAAGCGCGCTATGCTACTGGATGTTTAACTGCGACACATACAATCTGAGATAAATAGGGGCATTTGCCTAAACATATGAATGAAATTTTCCACAATTGAAGCGCTGGGTGCAGAAAAGACATTCCTTGATATTACAATGCTAAAAACGTGAAATTTCAGAAAATTCATCCGGTAGGTATTTTCTTCTCTAAAATATAAACTAGCAGTGGTGATTCTCAAACACCGCAACAGAGGAATGCTCTCTCTGCACCCAACGCCTCAATTGCCACCGCATACTCTCTCTGTTAAAACCCTCTATGGCATAGCGTTACGAATTCGTAACAACGTTTTTTTTGGGTTTTTATAGATGGAATCTTTCCTCTATGGCGTGTCTTCGCAAATTTTCATTAGTTTTTTCTTTCTTTGAATAAATGATTCCCAAAAATTTAAAGTTTTGAAAACAAATTTGTGCTTGGTGTTTTTTCTGCAAGCTACAAGGTAGATTAGTGTCCCCCAGAATCTGAGATCCAAAATTGGACGTATTTCTGCCAAACGGATTTTTGTGCATTAAGACATGAGCCCTGAGACCCATAAGAATATACGCATAACAGGGCTCAAGTCATAATGCACATAGTTCCGTTTGTTAGAAATACGCCCAATTAATTCATGCCATAGAGGGTTAAGGTACTCTACCGTGATGGATAATAAAAAGTTCTCACCTATTGATAAAAACACAGGTCTTGGCGAAGAGGAGGAACCATAGGTCCATGAATTTCTGCTTGTTGAGCAAGCTGGCAACGCTGTTGTAGACGAGCATCCCACGGTAGGGCAGCCACAGAGTCGCGAACAGCGCCACGATCACGGCCAGCATTTTGACGACCTGCAAGCACGCCACCACACATCAATTATTAGCCCCGATCCACTTATAGAACTTTCAACTCGGATTCCTCATGCGAGATAAAGTAATTTCTACCGCCATCCTATCCGCGAATCCACTAAATTATTCACTTCGGATTCAGCCTCCTCGGCCCAACCCCCCTCTCCCCCCTCCCACCCTCCCACCTTCCCCCCTCACTCAGACCCTCGTCCCTCATCACTGTCGAAAAGATCAGATTTAAAGTTGGTAATCCGATCATTCCCCCGTGAGTAAAGTCACTTGTGCCAATTCGGATACCAAAAAATAAAATCTATTTCACGCACTGAAAAAAGAACTCCGGCCGTGGAAGCTGTACTTATGGGCTATATAGGCATGCCGCCCGGGCTCAGAGGCCGAAAGTTCCGGGCGTGGCACCCNACCTCCAGCACCCGGAACTTTCGGCCTCTGAGCCCGGAACGGACGGTATGTCTATATAGCCCGCAACTTTTTTTTTTCAAAGCGGGAAAAATTTTCTGTGGGGCCGTTCAAGACCTTATTTATCCTTTTTCCTTGTGTGTTGTTTCTGTAAGGTATTTTGGCCCCCCTTCCCCCCGGTACCTCCCCTCGACACACTCGTAAGAAATCCTCTCATCCCCCTTTTGAAGAGGCTTTAATACTGACTTCACGTCCCTCCCCCCTCCCCATGGATTAGCAAATAAAAGAAAAAACCTGCAAATATATCTGAAAATTGTATAATTGAACTGGGCACTTTATTTTGCATAAGACTGGATGTAAGCCTCTACCCCTCGTAAGACTTCGCAAGGCAAGCTTCGAGTGTTTCCCCGCCCCCTTAAGTAGTTTACGTATTACTTGGAAAGCCTCCAAGGACCTGGTACTGCAGCCGTAAAGGTCGTTAGATGTCATTTCGGAGATGATTGGTGTCTTCACCTTAACATACACCTGGTGAATGTCGCATTGAACATTCTTCTCATACCGTCATGTATTTCGGTCTTGCAGACTGGTAATTGAAATTGATCGACAAAGCTATGGACAAATAAGACAAAAGGGATATGGAAGGATCCTGTTGAAGGAAGCGGGATGTTACAATGGACGAAAGAGGTAGGTAATAGACTAACTAATGGCAACCCACGAGAGCCCCATAGTAAGTCCATAATTTTTTCCCTTAGTCTACAGGAACCACCCGTTTCAACCAATAGAGCTGCTCCATATTCCCAATGTCTTTTTTGTCTATTGCTTTATCAGTCTTCAATAATCAGCCCGCTGGCCACTTCATGACTAATTTCGTCAATACATCAAAATTACGCAGTCAGTCTAACAGCCGGAAATGACGATTTGTATTGTTTGTTTTGTGGTCGACAAGGGGATTGAAATTACTGTGAGAACTCGGAGGCATTTTTATGTGTATTTTTAACCTTATTTATCCTTTTTCCTTGCGTTTGTTTTCGTTGAATTATTCGGGCTATTTTTGTGTACTGCTCTTATTTCCGGTTTATATTGGCTGTAAGACCCAAAGCTGATATTGACGTAAATATTGATAGTGTGGCCAGGGCTTCTCAGAGACAAACAAAGACACGCCAGTGTTATACGATGGTCATAGAATCCGTCTTACTTTACTTCGTACAAAAAAGGAGGGTTTACTTTATGGGCACTTTAAACCACGTCCACCATCTTGGATTTTGGAATTTTGACAAAAAAAATCGAGTTCCCCGTCAAAAATTCCCCCTGTCAACGAGTTTCACAAAAATCGAAACGACAGGGGCCGAGATAGTCTTTTAAGTCACGTCCGCCACTTCGGATTATCGAATTTTGAAAATTTGAGTTCAACTTCAAAATTCCCCTCAAAAAATGCCATCTGTTACGAGGCTTCACAAAAATCGATTGAATAAAAGCCGCATATCGTAGGATCAATATGACTCTACACAGTGGTAAACGATACCAGTCAATTTACATACGGCGAGGCGCCTTCATTTTCATCCGATACTGTGCAATACTCCTGTGGCGGAATAGTTGCTCTGAGCGCCTTCTACGGTATCGCTTTGACTTGATGGCGGTCGATAATGATTCGTCAGAATTACACTCAAGCGCGTGCACCCTTACACATTCTCTCATCACTGACGGTGAGGTAAAAAACATTCATACCTCAATTTGCGACGTTGCAAGTTTCCCATTGCATATTTTATGCGGTAAACCATTATAGACACTTTTAAATCTGCCGTGATATTTCTGAGATAGGATGAAAAGTATAATTTGAAAATTATTTTGCAATTAGGAACTACAATATCTGGCTTATCGTAAAAACATTCGTGTACAGAGGGAAATATTGGTACGTAATTTGTTTCTGAACTGCGGCAGGATTTGTAGTTCGGGATTTCAAAATGCAATCCATGTCAATGTTCAATAAAAGTTGCTCTCTTCAAAAAGGGGAAATTATGTATAAGTAGTTAGGTATATCAAGGTAATTTGGAAGTTTGAGTTTATTATGCGACTCATTTCTTGTTCATCGTTCATAAGTAGGTGCCTTCGAACAAGCAGTAGCAAATCCAAGACTTATATCTCTCGAAGTAAAATACCCAATACTTGATAGCGTGAAGTTATATAAGCATTTTAGATGGACACAATGGACCTCTATACAATGTACGAATTTAAGCATTTTGATACATGTTTCTTAATCAAAATTTCACGTAAAACACGACTCGCGCAACAAAAATTACTGACACCAACTCCTAATGAAGATATTTACGTTTTTATTTCACATTGGTCACGAGGAATTTGAGCTGCTCGCTCACAAGAAACTCAAAGCACTACGTGAATCAAATCGCGCACTACAACGATTTCAGCGAGCTTCTCAATTGAGCAATGTTCATTTCCCACCATGTGTTGTTCAAACTATAAGAAATTTGCTATAGCTGAGCCAAAGCGTCAAGATTGAGGTTGCCAGATTTTCATATTGCAGAGACTGTCAAGATAACGTTTAACTCGCGATGAGAATCACGTAGAGCATTCAGTTTTCATGAGCGGGTGGTTTGAATTCACGCAAAAGTGAAGAGTGTAGAGTTGATTTCGGTAATTTTTGTTGTGCGCATCGTGTTTTACGTGAAATTTTAGTCAAGAAACATGTATCAGAATGCTGGAATTCGTGCCTTGTCTAGTGGTCCATTACACCTTCTCTCATTGTTAGAGTGCCCCTGCTTGAGATGGCAGCATAGCACTCGACGTCTTTCTCCCCTGGTTCGGGAAATATCGAGTCAATAAAGCTTATTAAGTGGTCAAACTTTCGTTTTAGTCCCCACTTCTTCCACTGACGCGGCGTCTGAGGTAGCAGTGTCGTTTTGTTGAATGCTACTGGATTTTGGCCTTTTAAGTAATGTGGGGCTGAGAAATTTTTGAGTGAAACGACAACGCAGGGGAGGGTTGAAAAAAGAGATGATCAAAGCACCGGGAGGCGAAAGCCGGAATGGGATTCCGACGTAATTCGTAGGTGTTGTTTCTAATGAGATTTAACTCTTTGAGAGCCAATTATCCGGCAAGAAAGGCTCCAACGTTGTCTGATCACCCATTTTCATTTAATTCGAAAGACTATACTTTCGGCATCGATATCTTTGAAAAAAATCCGTGATTCCAATTTAAACTTTACAATTCCTCTTTTTTGAAGAAAAAAAAAAAAAAAAACAAGACCAACAAAAAATTTTTCTAGATATTTTTTGAGGGGAATTTTCTATATACACTCAGAAATATTCATCGTAAATTTAATGCGGACATTTTCGTCAGTTTTATTGAGAATAATAATTGAAACGTGGTCAGAAGATCGTAGAACATTGCAACGAACTTATGTATTTTTTGATATGTAGATAGATACAAGAAAATACTTGGGGTGATTGCGTCATACTGAAATAAAATTTCTTAGAAAAAAAAAATTCGACATTAGCCATGGTCAAGGCGGCATATATTTAATTCTCATTTCTCTAACTCATAACCAAATAACAGAGGTGATACGTGTTTTTCATATACTTCCATTCTTTAAATAAATATACTAATATGAAATATCTCTAGATCTGGTATCAAAGGGTTTTTATTATGTCCACGAGACATATTGAGGGCGTTTTGAGGCTAGCAACTTACAGCAATAAGCGAAACACTAGTGAGATAATCGAAGCTCAATGATATGAGTTCATCAACGACAAATTTTGGCAGAAGGTTATCAGATTATCTACATGCTCATTACGAGATACCGTTTGTTTTGGTTTTCCCTTCAACCAAGGACACAACGATTTTGGCAATGTTCATTTCCGTACCTCTGGTGTGACATTATTCGTAGTTCGGCAGTGACCTATCGATGTTAGGAAAGGGATTTTACTTATTTTAGTAGAGAATTTAATAGTGTTTTCCTATTGTTTCCTCAACTGTATGCCAATTGTTTCCAATGTGCTTTCCAATTGCTTTACAATGGTTTGCCCCTTGCAGCAATTAATAATACGGAAATCTGTGAATTAATGACGCTTCGGTGAAAAGCACTTTCCTATGATGGCCAAAATACGCTGTTTTGCAAAAATAATTATCGCACTCACATTTGTGTATGTTTTGAAGTTTGACTCGGTTTTGGTAAGTTTATTGTATTATATTCTAAACCGACGGAATAATTTTTCCAACATGATTCATTTGTACTTATGAGAACTTCGAGTTTCAATTTTTCTCGTCAATTCCGATAATTGAATGTCACTCGCTGTGCGTGAACATGTTGAAAAAATCAGGTGTCAATTATTTTGATTTGATCTGGTCTCTAAATATTACGAGTGAAAAATGAAATGTTATAATTCGATTTTGCGTCTCGCGAAAGCAATTTAAACTTTTTAGGTATACATGTGATATTTCAACTACAAATCACCTATATACTTCGAAATAGAAAAAAATCAATTGACACGTTCATGCACTTCAACTGCAGAACTAAGTTGTTTAAATTTTCTGCAATTATAGGAATTGTCATCACATTAAATTTTGAAAGTAAAAAAATTAAAATTGGACCAATTCTGTTTAACCTCCAATTATCTTCATGGTTCAAGTTCAGATAGCTTGAACTACATACATAAGATGTTGCCTAAAGCTGATAAGTTGCTTGAAATATTTTAATTATATTATTATGTGTGAGCAAAATATTTTGCGGAGTGCGACCACTTCATTTTAAAATACATTATTTATAATATATGTTATTATTTTACCTGTATTATTTTCAGGGCTACCCATTTTACAAGTTGAATCAGGAGCGAATCGAAGTTGTTTTTCAAAATGCAACTTCCTTGAAAGTAACCTACGCTGAGATTCATAAAATCAACAAAACACTGACTGGCCTCAACTTTGCCGTGCAAATCGATGATGTCTCCCGAGCAAATGAATACTGGGTCTGTATTTTATTCACAGTCCATAATTTTGAGGCAAATCTAGTTTTGCTAATATTGCAATTTTAGGCAAACTCCAATCTTTCTTTCTGCCGCTAAACATTCGCCTGAAAATCGATGTTTGCTGGTAACATAATCGTACAGGGAATTTAAGTAGTCAAGAGGAGGCTAACAAAATTCTCGGCAATAACATATTTTGAGTCATTTTTCGACTTGCAGGCTGAAACGCAACGTAAATTAAATAATTTTATTGAGGCCAACCTTTGGTATTTCCACTTAAACTTTTTTTGATAAAAGTTTGTTAGGCCGTACGAATTGGGTTTCCGTGTAATAACGGCGATGTACTGCGACGTAACATTCGCGTTCTTAAGTTAAGTCCTGGTCCATCCAGTGAACTGAACGCGACTAAAGAGAAATATTTTAATAGTACTTCCAAGAGCTATCAAAAAGTGAGACCGGTCATTGCAAAAAAAAATTAAATTGATTTTCGAAGTATGTATATTCTCGTCTCAATTGAAGCCGCCACCTTCTCGAAATTATGCGATCTTCGATGAATGATATCAAAATGTGTATGACCTGCACTATGACCGATGTTGAATCGTACGGTTCATTCGAATTGGCTTAATACGTTACGGTGAAATTAGAGAGCAGAGACTAAATTAGAGATGATGTTAGACTAACGAACTATTGTGGCGTGCTGCTCCGTATAGAAATTACAGACTTTGTGGAAAAATGAGAATTTACAAGTAGGATTCAACCGTCTTTTTCTATGTGCAATTTGAAATGTAATACGATGTTTTGTCTGCAAGCAACCTAGATACTAAAAAAAGCTTTCACAAATGAAGCCACGATAATTGTACTACAATTCAGTGTTATGGAAAGCCCACTTTATTACATTTAGTAAGGTGCAATAATTATCAAAACAAAATTATGGCTGAATGTATGAATAAGGTTGTCACTCTGTAAGGTAGTTCCATTTACGACATCAATAATGTCAATTTAACCCCGAAGTCGTGGCAATCTTGCCCGTGTATTCAGCCCTATCTCTGTTCACAGAATTCGACTGATTACAGAGGTGGACTCACTCATAATCCTGAGTAGTGCCACCATTACGAACTCGGCTTTAGAAGCTTTTTATTAACTTTTGAGCTAATTTTAGACACAACCAGTGATGCCATCGCACTTCCCCAAAATGTCTTTCAAGAAAATAATTGCGCGGACCTTCAATCTTCCACCTCAGGAGGAACTCCATCATTAGCCAGTTTAGCAACATCGGTGGAGCAGAAAAGAAAAGTAGAAGTTCTGCCTTTGATTAAAGACTCTTGCCCCCACGTGATTTCTCAGTTTTCATTATTGTCTATGCTTCCTCTTGCCCCATTCGATTTTGCGAAGCTTTCGCGGGTGTCGGAAAAGTTGGGGCAGTGAACCTTCGCGCGAAACTCCTGCTTCCTTTTTCTTTCGATACGTTTCTCCGCCAGTTCCTCGCGTATTGTTACATTGCACTGTAGCAAGGTTTGCCCAGAGACAAAAGATTTTTGAAACTCTGCACTGGCTCCCGGATCAACGTAAACGCTCTACGCAAGAGTTTGAGGAATTTAGGATGCCTCGGGAGCTGAGAGAGTCGATCTCTCACCTTTCTTGCATTGAAAGTTTAAACTTTTCCTAAAAAATGTTCGTAAAATTTTGTGCACTTCTGAAAAGTATTTGAAATTGACCCCCCCCCCCTCAAAAAAAGAAAGGAAGAGAGAGTTGGTTGCCTTTCTGCAATTTTCTACGTACATAAATTTTCTATAATTATAAACTATCGGTTTAAGTACCTCGCAGGTGGCGCTATCCATACGTTTCTCTCCTTACCATGTGTCTCTTTTTCCGTCGAGTTCTCCTTCAATCACTGTGAGGGCAATATGTGCGGCTTGGGAGCACGAATATTTGCGCGTAGCACTGCCGTGCTAAGGAGGAACGCCGTAAGAACATTCGAGATTTGCCAAATTTCCCTTGATAAAACATGTATTTTTGACGACATTCATGCATATTTTTCCTTGACATTTTCGGATATTTTAGATTAAATTGCGTACAAAATCGTCGGAAAATTTTGGAATTAAATATTCGAAATTTCCCCCATTAAAATCGGCTTTTATCGGAGGGAACTTGGCAACGCCTGCAGGCTCATACGGCGTTCTTCCTTAGTGCGGCAGAGTAGTTTTGCCACTTTCGCTCTGTTCCGGGAAGGAACATATCCACTCTCCACCCTCACCGCGTGTCTCTCATTCCGTAGAGTGCGCCTTCAATCAGCCTGATTTCAATCTGACCGGCTGGAGAGAGCACAAATAGTTGAGCGGGGCGATGTCTCCACTTTTTTTTAGTCTAACAAAAAAGACACTGACGTAAACAACAATCCACGGACCTCGATCGCTATCATTCAAAATTACTGCTTTTGATTTGGATTGAGAAGAGCACTATCAAATTTTTTACACCAAATTTCCACTCAGTTTTCTCAAATTGGGAGAGAAAAATCTGTCAAATCCTTGTATAATGAGGTAATTTGGTCGTCCTGCGAGGAGGGAATATCAGATAAGTTATTAGCAATCGTCGTAGACTAATGCCGCAATTACACGCAGAATGTGGGAGCTGAATGTGGCTTGAATGTGGAAGTCATCGGCCCGATGCCTGAATTTTGCGCGTGACGCGCAAAATTCAGCAACGATTCTAAGTGACCATCGGATAATGTCGGATTTGTCTGAACTATTCGAATAGATTTGATACACATTTGGATGAAAATAACCCGAATAAGTGAAATTTCAGCTGTTGAGCGCTGAATGTTGACTGCCAAATTCAGCGTGTGATTGCGGCATCAGACATACTTTCTAGTCCCGTCACTGCTACGCAGCCCAATGAACTAATTTTCATAAAATATTGACCGAGAAGATCCAAATTGACAATAGAATTTTGACATTCCGTTTTTTATTATACGCTGAAATAGTGGCTGTAAGTAAAATGAGCCTGAGAGAAAGCGTCGCCGTCGGGTTGAACTGGAAAGAAAGGAGATGGGCATTGAGAAAATTCCCCCTTGTTCGTGACCTTCAAATAAATGCGTGATGCGGCTCGAGGGGAGTTAACTCACAATCCGCGTTCTTCCTCATTCGCATGATTGCTATGAACTTGAATGCAGAATGGATATTGAAAAAGTAACTTCCTTGCATCCAAACTAACCCGCTCCTTCATACTTCCGCGATTGTAATTCCTTCGCACAAAACAAATAAGTTCCGGAATAAATTTGGTGGAACTTGTTGTTTGACTTCCGAAAGAAGTTTATATTACCATCGGATCAATACATCTTGAATCTTTAAGGCCTGCACGCTGCCACAAAATGCACCTTAAACCACTTCTCCTCCTGTCAAAACCGTATGATAGCGACCATGTTCTTGGATGTGTGGCTGGCGGTTTTTTTTATGAATGTTTCCTTCCTTTATTTCAATCGCAGAGGTGTGAAGGATGAAAGTTGTTGAGGCACATCCATAAAATAAACAAATTCTACCACTACTTTCCTCTTTTTTCTTCAGGCCTTTTTCATATCACTCAAATTTTTGTAGGCAAAATCTGCTCCACTCAAGACTCCACTCTGTGGAGTCCACTGCAAGACTTCACTCTTTAATTGCAAACATTGGATGAGAACAGAATCATTGAAACAACCCTAAAAGTTATGAATACAGTAAAAGAGTGAGTTGAGAAAATGCAATACCCGCCAATTTTCCTTGAATCTTTAATAGTATGAACAGCATGAGAAAATGTTTGGTATTATTGGCAACGTTCGAGAGTATCTCAACTTCACTTGAAATCACAATACCGCAACCAGAAACAGTGATTTGACAATTTTATTTTCCAGCTACGACTTGATGGGTATGAGAGACTTGGAATGGAGTATATTTACAAGAAGAGCGCTTTTTCATATGAAATGCAGTTTTGTAGATTATTATCCGGGGACATTCTTCGCTTCAACAAAGCCTTGAACAAATTCGGTTATATTATGGAGTCTTGTGCAGCAGCTAAGAACGTAAGTATGAATCTGTATAGTTTATGTAATTCTTCAAATTTCACCTAGTTATGTAACAGAGATTTACCCTCTGGAAAAATAGCAAAAGTAGATATCGATGGCTATCGAAGAAAAGCTCTTATCTTTGATTGAGAGATTGCAATCATCCGCTTATTGACGGTAAACTGTAAAATTGCGTATCTTGATTGCGGTTTTTCAAAATCTCCGCTCTTATTTAATTTTTGAAATGGAGACCAACCAATATTGTGGCTTGAAATTTTCATAGAATATTTCTCACATTGAACAGAAAAATCACCACAGTTTTCAATAAGTTGAGATACGTGGTTTCGCATGTTGGTCATCGAAATGACATTTAGTAGGTATCCACGTAGAGAATAAAGTATGACAGACGGTCTGTAATCACCGTAAACCAAGATACGCATTTCTGCAGTTTCACTATTGTTACTCTTTATTTGAACACAAAAAAATCACCCAACAGCTTTTCTTAAAATTTTGTGGGAAATCCTTTCTGCCCATTCAAGAAATAAAACATAAATTGCACATTTTTAAAATGTCCAAATAAGAACTCATAAAACATGCATACGGCTAATCAGTGGTGTTGGTGGGAAAGTCAGATACAACCAAAATTCGATGATCTGCAGGGAGCAGTGATCAAAGGTAACCGTCGTTCCCCTTGTCTCTGTTGCACCATACTCATAGTTTTAAAAAACTTAATTGTCGAATTGACCACAGAAATTAGAACCCTTCATATTATGTTGGGTGCCCGAAATGTGTATGAGGCTGCAAGAATAATACCTGGTAGAGCGCAAGAGCGCCTTTCTTTTTCTGAACGCAACACGGACATCCATGGAGCAGGTTTAGTTGCATCCACATCCAGGCGTTGTCATCAATTTTGAGCTCAGAACACATTTATTTAGCGTCGAGATCAACTGACAAATGGACCGCGTTAAACAGAAAGGAACCAAGCCACATCAGCTATTGCCAAATTTAATTGGGCAATCTAATTTTTTACATGAAAACGGTTGAGCGGATTTTTCTGCAAATTTCAGTAAATTTTCTCCATAATACGAGGCTAATTCCTCGGAATGTTCAAAGGAATCCGAACAAACGTTATCTCGTAAAAAATTTAATTGTCCGGTTAAACTTGGCAATAGCTGATGTGGCTTGGTTCCTTTCTGTTAAACTCGGTCCAAATGAGGTCCGAAGTCGGAATCCACCACTAACTCCGCAAGCAAACATGAAATTGAATGTCAACATTGATTTGATGAGTGATGAGGTGTTGCCGACTTGCCCCGCCAACTCAGGATTTCATCATTCCTCGATGGTCGACAATGAATCAGAGTTTAAATTTAAGCATCATGTCTCGAAGTTTTTTATCAAAATATTCCGTGTGCAATGATTAGCGAATGAAAACTTCTTGAATTAACTGATGGTGAACGGAATATGGCCGTTTCCATGTTCATAGATTCTAATGCATCCAAGGAAAAAGCAAAAAATACTTTTGGAAGTAAAAATTTGAGGTACTTAAGTATCGATTAATTTTTCTGTTTGCTCAAATTTCCTCCACGAATTTTGAGTAAGTTACATAAAAGAGGGAAGAAGCTGACGCAAGTAATTTGCAAAGCGTATAAAGTGATCCTTTGCGGTTAATTTGATGCATGTTTTCAGTTTCTCTGATGCTGTTACCTTTCAGGTTCCCCCAAAAATTTGAACAAGACTATTTTTTCCGAAAATATGAAAATAAAAAAAAAAAATAAAATAAAAAAAATTCTCCACCTCTATGCGCCGATAGGTGGCTACAAATGTGTGTAAAATGCGGGTGGAAATGGAGCAAGATTTTTCAAAAAGTGAATAAAACAAATCAAAGATTAATACAGAAAATAAAGACCAAATAAAAGAAAGCAAAGTATAGTATAACAGGGATTTTTGCATATCCGTCCAATATAAGGCGCTTTTTCACGAGCGTTATCCTCCAAATCAAAAGTCTGAACGCGATAATACGTCTCGGGTATAACATGAAAGTGCTGCAGAGTTCACATAACGAGCAGAGAAGCGAATTAAGTCGATGCGTGAGAAAACGGATCCATTTGAATTTAAAGAATGACAAGAGATTAATCAAATTCCTTCAAAAAGAATGTCAAGCAGTAACTGAAAATCAAATAAAACAAATCACCTCGCCACGCTCTCTACATATAGCACACGAGAGATGCATTTGCTCATTTTAAACGAAAATGAATACAACACCCTCACCTTATACAGCCGATAATTCAAAAATACGCTGCTCCTCCGCCATAATATAGAAGCACATAAAGAAACAATACAAATGTGTTTAATAACCTACAAACCCCTTTCTACTAAACTACTGATTCCTGTTGAGAAAAACCCCGCAAGTAGACTGATGCATGTATGACCTTCAACTAGTGAAATTAAATTGCGGTAGTTGGAGTGTGCTCGTTCGTTTTAAATAAAGGCTTCAGTAACGTTAGTGGTCAAATTTAACGGTCTAAAAGCATCAATGTTTACTTTCAATGTGGTGGTCACGATCATTATCGTGAAGCATATCATTACGAGACTAATGCTACTTTACTGAAGTGAGGAACGGTCACTCTATTCAAGTCGCCTTCAATGAACCTAGTAGGCAACGTGGGTTGCTTAGGAGTAGTAATAGTTGCTTGCAGCAGTGTGACAACGTTTCATCGTTTTATGCACAGCATTAGCTGACCGATATCCCTCTATTTATATGATTCCGCGCTCCGCACGTATCCTGATCAGGCTGTTTTTAATAAGATGTCCAGGGAATTAAGAGGCTAAAAGTAAAAGATCCTTGCAGCACTTGAGTTAAGTTCATAACCTAGCTTACTCTGCCAGTTTCCGTGATTGGCTGATGTTTCTCTTGCTTTATTACGGTTTTTTTATTTATTATTGTGATACTTCACTAGCTTAAGAAAAATATCAAACATTGACGAGAAAAAAAGAAGAGGTTCTATGATAGGCTGTTACATGGCGGATGTAATTCATGAGCAAATGACGAAATGTTTAATGTTACATCGGTCGCAACTGTAACGTGGAATGACCGAACAGAGGAAAACTTGATTACAGAGCATGGTGTCAACGATCATGGTGTCAACGATCATGCTGTCAACAAACAGTTTTTCTAAATTTTTGTTGATACCATGATCACCCAAAAATAAAATATTCTGCGTAACATGAAAGATGATCACGGTGTCGACGAAATTTAAAACTTCCCTCCATAACATCTTTTAAATTGTAAGTCTTGATATTATTGTGTTATTTACTCCTAAGTTTACCTAACCGAACTTTATCTTACCTGACCTGGCCCAACTTCACCGAACCAAACCTTCCCCGACCTTACCCTACTTCAACCTTACCTAATCTAACCTTTCTTATCCTATACTAATCTAAACACACATGACACAAACCTCTCTCGGAGACTTAATTTAAATAGTTATATAATAGGAAATGGTTTTACTTGGGAGGAAGATATTTTTCTGTTTGTTGACACCGTGATCGTTGACACCATGCTCAGGGCCCAATTGACTTTTTACTACCTGAGCACGACGTCAACAATTGTTGACTTCACGATCAGAGTTTGGGTCTGTTGACACCATGCAACATTACCATGAAAACTTTAATGAAAAGTATTTTTGAGTGACGAGCAAAATATATGTCCTTACTTAGAGACTTAGACCTAGACGAGACCGTGACGAGAATAAATTACATCTAATGTGTCTAATATTTTTTTTGAAATTCAACAGGACACTTATTATGTCAAAGATTTCTTCTTCGACGAGAGGACTCCGTTGCCACCCGAGGTTCCTGGAACCCATTGGAGATTTGATTTGAAATTCTACTCCAAGAAGGATCACGGCATGGTTTTTATGCAATATTATGTATCTGTTGAGAGAAAACATTTGTTTTCCAAGCCTAAAACCTAGAAGTATCATACTTTTTGTAGTTGCTATGATATTTTATAGTGTTTGTTGTTATCGAGTGCCCTAAAAGGGAGAGTAAAGACCCTTAAAGATTCACTTCTAATTGACTCAGTCATCTTATTCACACCGGTTAGCCTAGAGCCCAAAAAATTGCGCCACTGGGTAAGCAGGTGTTGGTCAAATTAACTGCCTAAAATTTGATTTCAGTTTTTTAGAGTGGCGTTATTTTTTTGCATTTTTATATTGAAAATAATTTAATCCATACCATACCAAATTTGACAAACAAGTCCAACGTAATAAGAAAAGTAGGAGAAACATCGCATCGGTTATAGGACATTTTGTCAACGATTTTTTGTCCGCGCACCTGTTTTTTCCAGTAATTTACGTCCACGCGTTTTTTCGAAACGCGCATTGGCGCCTACAAACCTAAGTGGATACTTCAAGCATTGTGCTATGCGTGCAGTATCCACTTAGGTTTGTAGGCGCCAGTGAACCTCTCGCGCCTACAAACCTAAGTGGATACCTCAAGCATTGTGCATTGCGTGAAGTATCCACTTAGGTTTGTAGGCGCCAGTGAGCCTCTCGCGCTGGCAGCACGCCGCTCCGCTCTGTTCGACTTTAATATTTATACTCGCATAGTCAGCGTTTTTTAACTCATGATTTTGAAATGTTTGCACATTCTGCATTGATTATTCTCATTTAAAATGATGGGGAAAAATATGTATCCATTTGTCAAAGGAGAATAATAATATAATATGTGTTTTTAAATATTGGTGGTTCTGTGTCAAATTTAATGATTTCCAAAGCACTTTAATTTTTTCTTTTGCATTTTGTGCTTTTAATGTTGCTGCAGCGAGGTGTACGCGCAGCCAAACGCTCAAAATTTGACGTATTTGACTCTAAAAGATCGATGTACAAATGGGTTAAAACTAAAGATTGCGTGCTTCTTGGTTTTTTTTTCCTCTTTTATTCATTTTTGCAGTTTCTGTCGGCACAACTGCGGCTCATTGAGATTAATGTCACTTGGATTAGGTTTTACAAATATTTGCCACGTTTTAAAAGTAAATGTTTTCAAAATGAAGTAATAATTTCGTAAAGAAAAAATTGAAAAAATAAAAAAGAAGTACCTATGCATAAATAAGGTATATTGTACATCGAATTTTTAAGGATAGAAATAAAACCAAATATTCACCAATGACAATTTAAAAAGATGATTCAAAAGGAGAAAGTAATAACATTTAATTTAGAAAATGAGCAACCATAACAATACCTCCTCCTCTCTCAATTTCTCATTTCCATATTGTCAATATAATTTTACATACCGACTAAAATATAACGCTTGGACCAAGTCACTGTTGCTTATTATACGTGTGGGCGTAAACTACTGAACAAAAAAGGTGCGCGGCCAAAAAAACGTTGGCAAAATGTCCTGAAACCCTCGCATCCGAGAACAGTTCCGATATCGATGTCGAATAATGCGATAATTCTCCTCTAAAAAAGTCCTGTCTTTATTACGCTCAATTTGTTTGCCAAAGTTTGTAAATAAATACCTACTTTAGTCTCTTGACAATAGAAATGCGATCTCAAAATTCGATAAAAATGACAGGTAGTTGAAAACATGGAACTAATCTACGCGATATATCGCATGTCGTTCTGACACAAAATATGGCGTCCACCGAGTAACCATTGGCATCAACTCAGGTTCTCACCTCACGACTCGAGGTCGTAATTTATTTTGCGAATAAGATCCCCTCAAAAATTGGATCTGGTATCGAATTCAAAAGTCAATTTTAGCCATTTTCGGACTACATATAGGCTTCACGAGACAAAGTATCCATGATCTCCTAATTCAGATACTTCGCATTCTCATAACAATGCGTCACTTTAATTCAAAATATTCATCCACTTTCATCAACGTTTGCCTCTCTAAAGGCCTAGATACACACGGAGATTTATCGCCGCGAGTGAAAGACGGAAGCCAATGGAGAGCCTTGATTTCGATCCATTGACGTCGATACATCGAAATCAAGGCTCTCCATTGGCTTCCGTCTTTCACTCGCGGTGATAAATCGCCGTGTGTGTCTAGGCCTTTACACCGTATGTCATTTTTGTCCTATCTGTTATACAATTTCAAAAAAAAGAGTGTTTAAATGCACGTTTATTTCCCGTATTCCCCTTGTTTATCTCTCGTTAAATGCACCGTGTCCTTTTCTTTTGATTTGTCAATAAAGCAACGTTAAAGCTCATTTTCCAGCTGACATATTTCACGACAAGGGTTTCCGAGCTTTGTATGCGTGGCGTCTCTTTCTTCCGTGAAATTTCATCCGGCCAATGCACGCAACGACGATTTCCACGCGGAAAACAAGCTTCTTATTCTTCCAGAAAATTCTCTCGGGCCGGAGGGTACTGTCCCGATCCTGGCGTGCGTAAAGGATTCCGCGGAATTAATATCAAGTAAACAACAGGACGGAATATTACGTCGCCTTGCGACATCGGCGTTGCGATATTTTTATCGAGAGGCTCCTCTACAAAACCCAAACTATTTTTTTCCTTAATAATACCGTCACCTTCCGGCCAAAGTATCATAAGCGCCATGCGACGTTAGAAAATTTCCGCTGCCATTTTATTTTTTTACAGAGAAACTGTTGGTTGAATCTGTTTTAAAATTTCACTGAATTTTATCTGTAGCACAAAGAAAACTCAGTGGAACTTTTGGACAGCTTCGTTGAACAATTCCTCTATAAAAAAATAAAATGGTGGCGGAAGATTTTAAACGTCGTATGGCGCTTGTGATATTTCGGCCGAAAGGTGACGTATAGGTGCATTTTAGATACATTTGAAATGATCATGGGTAGGAAGTGGTTTGAAATAGTGTGACAAATTGAATCACTGTGGATTTTTTTCCTTTTTAAGTCACGTAAATTTTGAGGCAGTGAAGCCGGTTTAGTGCACTACAGGAGTAACCTCATCGGCTTTTCGGTATATATGATGAACAGGACGTTTACTGAACACACAGAACATCATTAACGACTTCCGTGCTTGCACAAACGTTCAAAATAATTCGTGTCGTTTCTTTACTAGTTAGTAAGTTTCAAAGTAACGAAGCCGTCAAAAAAACGTCAAACTAGGATTTTGAAATGTATTTTCCTAAATTAGTCTGTAATTGCTGTCTCGGGGTGAACTTTGTGTGTCAAAAATATCGACGATCTGCTATGTACCCTTGAGTAGAGAAAAAGGTGTAAAACTTCAAAAAAATTTTATATTAAACTTATCATCATTCCTGAAAGTACGGTCCGTAATAATATCGAGATTTCCTGTTCGTATTTTGTAAAGCTCAAATACGTTTGAACAATCAGATATTACTTTTAAAGAGCCACCTAATAAACTTTCCAACAGAGGAACCCCTTTAGTCTTTTTTTGGCAGCCCGCTAATTTCTTCGAAATGTGGCTGAAATGAAAGGTTGTGATGATAGACGACTCTTACCACAGTGATAGCTCGAGCTTGAGGATGGTTCTAGCCAAATAGTAAAATACAAAGTTTCCATTTTCAATCAACATAAAGATACATCCTCTTGTAAGACAGTGTGGATTTGCACACAAAAAAATATAAAAGAGGTCTTTCCCCATCAAATTTTTCCATTTTAACGACTTCGCAAGTGCCCCCCCCCAAAAAAAAAACAGCGCAACGTAGTGTGAGGCTCTCTTTCATCTTATTGTGACATTTAAAAAAAAAACAATTCTGTTCGGAAAAATTTCACATGTTATTTCAGATCACACATTGATCATGTGTACTGACATAGGCTTCACTGATCTGCCATTCTGAGGAAGAACGCTGTATGCACGTTTGAGAGTTGTCAAATTTACCTTGATAAAACATGCATTTCTGACAACATTCATGCATATTTTTCCTCGAAATTTTCAGATGTTTTAGATTAAATTGTGTACAAAATTGTCTGAAATTTTTAGAAAATGATATTCGCAATTTTTCTAGTAAGTTCGGTTTTTATCGGAGGGAATTTGGCAACGTCAGAAGGTTCATACAGCGTTCCTTCTCAGCACGGCAGTGATCCAATCGTGCAGTGTTGGTGTTTATTAAAATAAATACCAGTGGCGTGGCGTGAAGGATCGATTATCGATATATCGCCATTTGAAGCTATAGTAAAGAATCGATTACTAAGGTGTCCGCTGCGAACGCCCTGATAATCGATCTTTTTCCATAGGTTTAAATGGCATAACAATCGATGTATCGCAATTCACGCCACGCCACTGATAAATACGGAACTACGACAACATTGACTCCTCCACTGTCAACAAGTATAAGTTGATGGAGGTCCGACGGAACACGAACGACAGTCAAAGGCTCATGAATACCAATGAGCTTTTCAATTCTGCGACCGTCCATGATTATTTGCGGTCCTTTGAGAAGCTGTCCCTTCCGTGTACGTTCAACCGATGGAAACTCCAATGTTAGATGAGCCTCTTCAAGTCCCTAAGCTTCATCCCGAGCTGCTAAGTTGAGCAGAGTGCTAATGGATCGCTTTTAGCATGAAGCTCTTCAACAATTCTGGATTTACGAATCAGCTCGTACACTATTCCTCGTGCCTGTACACAGTCAAAAATGTCCGTGTTACTTTTTATTGGTGTTAGATCAACCCGAAGGAAAGGTTGCTCTACACAATTTTATGTTGAATCGACCCAAATTCTAGGTTACTCTGAGACATTGGGGCATGGAAAAGGTAGAATTTATGAAGTCTTGTTTTCCTTCCCACAATCAGAGGTTGCGATTTGCGATTGGCCAGCGCATTGAATTACCACCGTTGCGACGCAGGCTCCTGGCGGCTGGTGCCTAATTTTAACGAGGTCGCAGATTTTTAACCCAAAGATTTGGCCGATTTGATGCAGGAAAATCTGACACTAAAAAACTAACCAACAATTTGTGCTACTTTGTACTTAACTTTCTATAGTAACACAACATTTTTATTACGTTTCATAACTGAGTAGAGACGAGATGATTCATGGTAACACTGACTGAAAGTCAGCACCACGCATTTGAAACA